CTGGCATTGAAACTCACTAAATTTTGTTCCAATTTGAAACCTATATTTGTGCTGTTAGCATGCTGATAGCTTAGCAAAAGTGAAACGATGTTGGTAGCTTGCTTTCATGACGACATACCTGCAGCGCTGGCAGTAAATTTGGAACACAGCCTAAGGAAGCCAAAACTGAACACTGGTCGTGTGTCGTGTCACGTGCGTCGGTTGCTAAGGCACACCCACTACTCAACGTAAATTATAAGCCGAAGCACAGACTTTTGCATAACGCATATCGCATAAGACATAAGAAAATCAACTAATCCAGCTTTTTGTTTTCATCTCTACTTCTTGTTCTAAGAAGCTCTTTAAGAGAGTACTGGATACCGACTATAGAGATCTGTAAACCAACGTTTCTCCTAAGTCCTTTGGAGTCGTTCATAGAATGGCGTATGGACTAACCGTTATAGGTCCAAGAGCCACAAGCGCACCAAACCAAACCATTCTTTGGAGTCGTATTTACTGCATTAAATCTAAAATGCTTCTACAGAAATAAATAAATAGTGCCAAGGATTGGCGCTTGTTCTTTGGAATGTCAAAATTCAGCATAAATTTTTTCTTATACAGTTTCCTTCTATAACCTCACTATATATTTATGTATGTAGAAGTATTTCTAAGCTTATGTACATATTTACAATGAACAAGCGCCACAGATACGACAAAAACAAATCTAATGAGACATTCAGATTATGCTATGACTATTTAACTGATGAAAACAACGTCTTAGTGTGATGACAGTATAGGTTATCTTATGCTATTATTATGAATAAAAAAAGAGTTTCAAATGGCATAATATATCTATTTTCAAAAGCACTAAATAGTTGTTTATATATGTTTGCTTCTATAGAAGCACTTTTTATGTAATGCAATAAAGAAACTTAAAAATTAGAGAAATTTAGGTTTTCAAAAAACGTCGGTTTACAGGGCTGTGTTCAGTTAAGCAAGATGGAACGAACTAATGCAGGAAATGAAGGAAATACAGGAATTGGAACTAATGAAACTAATGAAAGAAGTGAAAATAGTGAAAAAAAAGAAGGTTGGCTCCCCTGATCTGTTGCGGAACATGTGTAGTGGCAAAATTGGAAACAATTCTGTAAGTTTCCATTCCGAAGAAAGTGAAAAAGGAAACGAGAGAAAGCGGCGCATACGGATTATAATTAAAAAAAAAAAAAAATTGGAATTTATAGAATCGAACAAGAAAGCGTTAATTGTGACAGAAGATGGTTGCGGTCTAACGATGGTAACTAACGATACGATGGTCATTATTTCCCATGCTAATTGTTTTGCAAGTAATTGAACAGCAGAAAACACTGATGCGAAAAAAGAACTCAATTTTAAAAGAAGAAAAAAAGAATATGCAGAGCCAGATGAGCCAGCACACAACAACAGAAGCAGTAGTGTGCAATTTTCTAATGTCCCTGACTAACCTATGTCTATATAATTGTCTCTTTTCCTCGTCACTTTCACAAGTTACTTTGTAGAGCGCACCATCTTCTGTCACAATTAGCGCTTCCTTGTTTAATTCTATAAATTCGAATTTTTTTTTTTTTTTTTTTTTTTTTTTTTTTTAATTATAATCCGTATGCGCCGCCTTCTCTCGTTTCCTTTTTCACTTTCTTCGGAATGGAAACTTACAGAATTGTTTCGGTTCCAATTTTGCCACTACACATGTTCCGCAACAGATCAGGAGAGCCAACCTTCTTTTTTTTCACTATTTTTACTTCTTTCATTAGTTTCATTAGTTCCAATTCCTGTATTTCCTTCATTTCCTGCATTAGTTCGTTCCATCTTGCTTAACTGAACACAGCCCAGGTCTCTATCCAGTTTACAGGCCGGGCTCCAGTACTCTCTTAAGGCCGAAGCACAGACTTTTGCATAATGCATAACGCATAAGACATAAGATAATCAACCAATCAAAGCTTTCTAGAAGAAGTAGAGATGAAAACGAAAAGCTGAATTGGTTGATTTTCTTATGTCTTATGCGTTATGCGTTATGCGTTATGCAAAATCTGTGCTTTGACCTTTAATTGATTGATTCTCTTATGTCTTATGCGTTATGCATTATACAAAAGTCTGTTGGCTGCGTTCCGTTTCACGCATATGCGCGCATTTATCTATAGTGCACTTAACGTATAGTATAGATAAATGCGCGCATATGCGTGAAACGGATCGCAGCTTGTGCTTCGGCCTTAAGCCCCTTGCACAATGGCCACGTTCAGCAGACTGAGCAGATCAGTGAACGCTTAGTGATTCCTTAATATGATTGAATCTTGCCTTTAGATCTTAATTGGATCTAAGTGTAGAAACCAATTATATTGAAGAATCACTAAGCGCTCACTGATCTGCTCAGTCTGCTGAACACGGTCAATGGAAGGAATAGCGATAGCGATAGAAATAACACAGTTTTAGACACAAAATTCCAACTCGGTGGAAATTTTATCGCTAATGCTTATTCTGATTTTCTGATCTGCATTGATACATGTGTAGTTTTGTATGTTAGATTCCGCTGTTCCTACCTTTATTTTTAAATATAAACTCTTTAAAACTTTTGTTATTTCTATCGCTATCGCTATTCCGTCCATTGTGCAAGAGGCTTTATGCCCTCTCTCCTGCGTGACGTCACGCTGTGGCAACTTCACTGAACTATAATATGGAACGCGCTTGTGTTCAGCAGAAATCAGCGCTCAGCAATTGCTGAGTGACTGAATGACTGAACGCAGTCATTCTTTACTTTTCGTTGTTCTTTTGTCTTAGACTATACTCGTATAAATTTCAACCAATCAGCGACGACGAGACAAAGACAGAGATCCTAATTGTGATGCTCTCTATCGCGGACAGCTCGCACAATGGCAAGGCGCGTTCCATATTATAATTCAGTGGGCAACTTCCACGGCAAAGCTGCTAGTTTCTAATAGTTTTAGTTCGAGTAGTATAAGGTTAGAAAAAAACAGGCTGGTGCATATATGTAATACTCCTATATTGCTAGTACGGTGCCGACCTGAAGCTCACCGTTACGGTGCAGACAATATAGTAGCCTCTCTCTCCAGCTGCTTTGTGCGCATGTGGCGCATAATGGGTGTGTTTAGCCGAAGCTAGCGCTACGTAGCGCTACGTAGCGGCTTCATGTAGCAGTTGCAATTGCTGCGTTACTTCTGCTGGACAGTATGGCTACGCGTAGCATGTTCTAAGTAGTGGCCGCCATTTACAATAATACCGTCTCAATTATAATACTTTGACACTTTTTTTTGCCATTTTTATAAATAATTAAAAAACACAGTTTAGCAACCGAAGAATACAACGGCGATTTGTATACAAACATATTTGCGCTTACAAAAAGCGCTGCGCGTAGCAATACTGTCCAGCAGAAGTAACGCAGCAATTGCAACTGCTACATGAAGCCGCTACGTAGCGCTACGTAGCGCTAGCTTCGGCTAAACACACCCAATGACGCTCGACCATCTATGCCCATATTTGGACTTCGTGCGTCTCCCTTTCTCGGGCCTCGTGCCTCTCATTGCGAAGATACGCGACTAGCAATATAGGAGTATTACATATATGGGCTGGTGACAGTTCTCTATCGTCCCGTTTCTTCCCATTTGAGTAAGCGTTCCAGTATAGCATATATGTAGTTCAGTGGTATAGACCATATATGTAATATTCCTATATTGCTCGTTTGGCTTGAAAAGTTCCGAAAACATCACGGTACAGATGATATCGTTTTCTCACTCTGTTAGAGGAAACGTGCGTTCTGCGCATGCACTGAATCGTGAGAGTAGGAGTTAGTGGGAATGCCATGGGGATGCGCAGAAATATTACATATAGCTGAAGCGAAGCTACGTGGCAATATGTAAGGTTAGAAATGTCGAATAGAAAAAAATGTTATTTATGCAATCGCAAGCCGTCAAGAGAAGACCATATTTCGGTACATAGGTAAGTTTTATAAAAAAAGTATTTGGTACTAACCAGCACTAACCCTTCTTTGTAAAGTCTGCGCAGTATATATGCTGCGCAGCCTATTCCCCTAACTCGGAATTTTGAGCATGCGCAAAACAGTCAATACATCTATCGTCTGTCTCACTTCATCGGCGTAGAAACCGCTTATGGAAAGTATACGAAGCGAGCAATATAGGAGTATTACATATATGGTATAGACACGAAGTAAGAGTAAGGAGATCGAACTCCGTGATACAAAAGTGGTCCCGATTTTTACGGTTCATTGGAAGGGAATCCGCTCAAGGGAATAGTTTTTTACGGTTGGACGCCATTTGCAAAACTATGCATGTACACAACTAACACATGTACACGTTTAGTATATGTAACCTATCTTGTTACATATACGATTGCAGCGTAGTTATGCATACATTTATAAAAAGAAGTTTATTTCCACCTAGGACGGTGAGTTGCGATTAGTAGAAATATTATGTATATATACTCATCATACTCTTTGTGTAATAAAGTTTCCTCGAGAATGCATCTTTTTATTTCAGAAATAATCCTCTACTAATATCTCTACTAATCGCAACTCATCGTCTTTGATGTAAATAAACTTTTTTTTCTGGAAACCTCTCCTTTGGTCTCACATTCTCGAATCCAACATGCTATAGCTGCGGATTCTTTCCTAAGTCCCAATGAACCGGCACAATCGGGACCACTTTTGTATATATAACGAAAAGTTCGATCTTCTTACTCTTACTTCGTGGGTCAGGTTATGTTTCAAATTGCAAATGGCGTCCAACGTAAATTCCCTTGAGCGGATTCCTTCCCAATGAACCGTAAAAATCGGCACCACTTTTTCCATTCGCGCGCTATCAAGTTCGATCTTCTTACTCTTCGTGGGTATAGATCGAAATATCCAAGATTCTGTTCGTTTTGCATGTTCTTCGCATAATATTTATACATTAGGTTAGAGTAATCGAAGTTGACCGCGCAGTGATTCATCCTGCAACCGTGGCACGTAAAATCTCCGATTAGATCGACGTAGAATCGTCCGTATCGGTGTCATCGCCATAGAGACCTCGATTGTCGTTTTTCGTCCAAGTAATGGAATCTACCGTGATCTCATACCTATTCTCCTCTTGGGCGTTGCTTGACGGCACGATTCGGACGTAGGTCTCTTTCACGCCTTTTTGTTCTTGGATTCCTTTGGTGTTTCTCTCTTCGCAGCTGACAGACTTGGAACGGACCTTTTCCTCGGGTTTTTTCGTCACCGTTTCGATTGATTCCAACGAACTTTTCCTGCGACTGGTTCGTCGGTCTATCTTGTTGATCTGATCCTTGTTGCTTCCGCTAGAGGTGAACTTTTGCCCTACTTTCGGGCTCTCGTTCTCCAGATACTTTCGAATCCATTTGGGTGTCTCGTTTGAGTACACCTGTGTTTTCTTTGCATATTTGGCGGGTGTACTTGGTAAGATTATTGGCATCTCGGTCTCAATCACTGTTGTGATTACTTGTTCGTTCTCGTCAAAGTTACTTTCCAGATACTTGCGCTTTGGTGTACCGCCCACGCTTAACTTGCCAAGCGTCGAGACACTGCTACTCTCATCGCTGCCCGTCGTCTCGTACGTGTACGAGTAATGTCGCTGGATATGCTTCGGTTCCTGCTGTTCGTGTTGTTGCTGCTGATGCTGCTCTTGATCCTTGTTTTTTTGCTCTTTCACTTCGTTCATCTCTTGGTTTTTTCGATTTTCTTCTTTCTCGATTCTCTTTAGTTTTTCCAACGCATCGTCAATCGAGTACCGCGGTGATTTTCGACCGCTAGTACCGAATTCAGGCAGCTTCACCGGCGACAACAACGACTGTCTTAAGTTCCCGGCAATGCTATGCCGCTGTCGAACAGGCGGATCGAGCAGTCGACGTAAACTCGAGTTTCTGATTTCCGGCACCGACATTCTTTCGCGAACCGGGATTGGCGGCGGTTTGCCACGTGTCTTGCCAACCGGCGTGACGTCTGATTTAGGTGGCGACGGCGATGTAGATGTTTTCCTGCCGGTAAACGGAAAATCCGGTGCAAGGAATCGCCTCTCGCCAGGCGGAAAGATCGGTGATGTGCTCGCTACAATGACGCTTTCGAGGCCTTCGCAAGTGGGACTTTTCAGCTTGCCTGTTGTGATTCCGGTGAGTTCTTCGGTCTTCATCTGTTGGTGTTCAAAAATCGGCGAGCTGGCGATTGGCAGCAAACGTGATTTGCAGCTATCTTGGCTATCAAGACTGAAACGTTGCTTTGTTAACTGACTGTCCAAGCTGAAACGCTGCTTCGGCGTACCGGCTATTAGTCGCAGATCGTTCTGAGTTTCTAATTCCGGAATCGAAAAGCGGTCGCGATTGAACTTGACCTGCGACGTTCCACTACCCAGATCCGGCTTCAGATTTCGATATTTGGCACCGATATCGAGCTGCGACAAGCGATCTCGCTGACTCGCCTGCATGAAGGCAGGCGCGAATCTCTTGTGTTTGATAGGAAAGGGTGGCGGTGAGGGAACACCAAAGCTATCTCGGCCGCTGCTGAGACACGGTTGGGACAATCGTTGCTGTCCCCGGCCAGGATAATAATCGCCTGTAATTAGAGTAGGTTGCGACAATCGTTCGCGTTTATCTTGTCGCAAAGCGAATCTGCGCACGTCCGGCTGTGAGAGTCGCGACGAGCTTCTTTCCATCGTGAGACTTCCACGATGACTCCCACTGCCGCCCAGAGCGTGCACATTTGGTGTTGAGAGTCGCTCTTCCTCGTTGATGCTGTTGTCGCCTGAAGTAGCGCGTAGACTTGTATAGGATAACCGATTTCCGCCACGATTCATACCGACGAAGTTAATGCCGCTTAAGCTGGAGTTGAGAGTTGGTTGCGACATACGGATGCGACGATCCGGGGAGCCGCCCGATCTCCGATCATACGAAATTAAGAGAGTCGGAAGATTCGGTTGCGAGTAACGGCTGCGCTGACTCGCGGGCGAATAGCTCGGTGGACACGGCGTAGTCGAACGAGTGCCCTCGTACGTAACAGAGTCCTGAGACTCGATACTCGACTGCGACTGTGGTGGTACTTTTACTGGAGTGATGTGCAAATTCGGCTGGGACAACCGGTTCTTGCGGCCCTGACTCGGTCGCTTCAGATGGTCAATCAAATTCGGCTGGGATAGCCGAACAATGCATGGATTTGGACACCGGTTCAGGTACCAGAGGTCCCGGCGGGAATACGGCTCACATCAGAGGGTGCCCTCTTCACGTAGACGACGCATGAAGACCGGTCGTACATCTTCAAAGAAAGACGGCAGGTCCAGCTCGGCAGCGCGTGCAATGCCACCGTCTTTGCATTCCAACCAATAAGTATCCATGAGACCTTTGCCCTGAAAAAAGATTAAGAGATCATCATATGATTTAGTTTTACAACATTATCGTACAGCACAAACATAATGTAAAACATAAATGATAAAAAACTATTTTAAAAATATTAGGATATTGCCTTCACGTCGACAAGACCACGATGCTCGATCTTAAAACCGCCCACCGCATCGAGCGCCTTCTTCATCTCTAAGCTGATGTGAATACGCAGAGCTTGAATAAAATATAACGTAAATAATTAATCAGAGATAGTGTATAGTTGTAGCTATACATAAGATAATGTAGTTTAAAAACAATATAAAATATACACAAGGTGAAATATTGAGGTGTGACTTCCGGCTCTTATTGATAACTCCAATTCAATATTTTTGTGATATTTGATCCTTTCTAGGTGTGTTGTATTAACATTTAAAGATGTCTTTTTGGGTTTGAACTGCATTAGCGTTATTTTTATGGTATACCATACCAATAAATGAATGGTGTACCATATATATTCATTTATTGGTGTACCATATACAGGGTGTATAAAAAGTATCGATACCACGAAAAATCTCTAAAACTAGACATGTTACGAGAAAGTGTTTCAAATAAAAGTTGTACGGTTTAAAAGAGTCCATTTACTAATTATATCAATGTGACTTTGGAAGGCGCCGCCAAGGTCAGGTTAAGGTCACATTAAATTTTTAAAACAAAACTCCCTATATATATACACGCACAGTTTCCGCTCAGATATCCTGCGAATGGCTCGTAAGGCCTTACATATTTCTTGTTATTAATTTCAACGAGCCTTAAGTCATAATTGTTTAAAACTCCCTATGTTTTATTGCAGATTCTTAAAATTGATGTGATAGCTTAAGTCAAGATTATTTTCCTTAAGTATTTTTTGAGTTATGAAGGTTGCACATATTAGAGTACCGATACTTTTTCTACAAAGATGATTTTGATCAAAACGAATTTTGTAAGCTTATGATGCAGAGAATTGTTGTGAAGCAAGTTTTGTAATAAAGTTAAGTAAAGTGAGGCCATTGAGCAATATGATGATACATCACTGTCATTGCTCAATGACCTGTTTAGGTTGCGGGGCAATAGCAGTTCTAGGAAGAATTGCTGGTTGCCACAGGGTGCGACATATCGCCGCATTGTCTGAAGTGCAATGCGGCATGTGTCGACACCGGCACCGGTAACCACTGATGAAAGATCGAGCAGAGAGCAACGGCAGCATCGAGTGGTGCGGGCACGCACACAAGCGAGAACTGCCGTCCGTGTGCGCACACGAAGGGCGGTTCTCGCTTGTGTGCGTGTCCCCACCGCTTCGATCTCTCGTTGCTCTCTGCTCGATCTTGCAACTCTGCCGGTAACTAGCACGGCCGTTGCTAGGACCGGTGGGCCTGCTGAATTGGCGCGATCGATCTACTATAAATCGATCGCGCGGATGAAGCAGCGGGAGACTGTGAACAGACTGCTAGCTCACTATGTGGCTCCGCAAGCCGGAGAGTTTACCGCAGTGAGAAACAGCCGTGTAAGGAACGTTGAAGGAACATTATAAGGAACTGGAGCAATAAAGATAATATTATAAGTTCAAGTATAGAACTTATTCTTCTCACCAACCAACCTCTTCGACTTCCAACAGAATTGACAAAGAACCTAACTTCCTATCCAACATAGTGTTTATAGATAAAGCAACATTTAAAATGAATGATAACGTCAATAAATAATGCTAATATCGACGATACTCTACTATTCAACCTCATAAGTCAAACAGTATTTAATGAAAATAAACTTTATTATAGTGTTTTGGAAAGCTTTTGAATTAAGCTATAAGAATTTGCAATAAAAAATAGGGTGTCCCATTAGAAAAATCCAAGGTGACCTGTCCTGACTTTGGCGATGTCATTCAAGATTAAACCTATAAAACCTATATAAGACAGTAAATAGATCCTTTAAAACTCCATAACGTTTATTTGAAACATTTTTTCGTAAAATGCCTAGTTTTCGAAATTTTTTGCGGTACTGATACTTTTTATATAGCCTGTATATTCATTTATTTATGCACGACACTTTCCATTCTACCGCTTTTATCAAAAATATTGAATTAGAATAAAATACACTCATTGGCAAAAAAATGGGTACCAATCTTTAGCACAACTTTTTAACATTTTTTAACAGCAGATAACCCAGCAAAACCCTTACGAAAAAGAACTACTGGCAGTAATATATTGCGGCAGTGGTACGAAATAATTACTGGCATTCTGTGTAATTGCCAGTAATATTCTCAGTGATTCCTGTAATATCTAATAATATTCTTGTGTGATTGTCAATATTTATATTACTGACTTTATTTATATGTAATCGGTAGTAGTTCTTTTTCGTAAGGAAAATCATCGTATTGAGATAAAAAAGGCTCAAATAAAGCTTAAACACCTTTCTTAACAACCAAAATATTAAACTTGAGTTACAAAAAATATTTTACACAATGGCGGATGTTGAAAATGGAGTTTGAGAAACAAAAAGAAAACTTTTTTTTTTAAACTATTGCATTAGTCAAAGAAATTGGCTACCTGGTACAAAATTATTAACTTTTAAGGCTCATTTTTTCCTAACAAATCCATATTTTCAAAATGTTTCTACAATTTGTTTTGACAAAATTATACCGTTTTGGAGAAAAGTAGACAACTTTTTCTTGTAAAATCTGCAAATCAGAAAAAGAATTGCTAAATGGAAAAGAATGACAGTATTAAATTCGTGCACACACGCGCGCAAACACGTACACACGTACATGCACGCACGTACGCAATAAATAAATGTTAGTTATCGACAAATTTGTTTCCAATTTAAAAAAAGTACACATTCTGTGTAAACTATTTTAGCATAGTAAAATAAAAATAGTTTTAAAAGTTAGAAAAAGTTGTCTATTTTTCTTCAAAACAGTATAATTTGTCAAAAACAATTATAGAAACATTTTGAAGATATGGATATTTGTTAAAAAAAAATGTGACTTAAAACTCAGACAATTTTGTATCAGGTAGCCGATTTTTCTGACCATTGGAATAGTTAAAAAAAAAGTTTTCTTCCCGTTTCTCAAAGTCCATTTTCAACATCCGCCAATTTGTCAAATATTTTTTGTAGAGTTTAATTTTTTATAACTGACAACGCAAAATTTAAACGGTCATAAAAGCCTTACGCTAGATGCTTAATTTTTTGGTTGTAAGAGAAATGTTTAAGCTTTAATTTGAAACTTTTTTTTATCTGAATACGGATGAGTTTTTACTGAGTTATCTGGTATTGAAAATTGTTAAAAAGTTGTGTTAAAGTTTGGTGGACCATTTTTGTTGAGAGGAAGTGTATTACAAAACATGTGTAGAATTGTTTTGTTTTCATTATTAAAATATTTGATTGTAAGTATTATGTAACAAATATATGAATCATTTTTTAAAAGTGCGAAAAATTATTTTAATACCTTCGCCGGTCGACTCCATGCGACTCGCGGTATTCACGGTATCTCCAAAGAGACAATAACGAGGCATCTTGCTGCCTACGATACCCGCCACGACGGGTCCGGTGTGAGCTCCGCTTCGTATCTGAAGTCGTTCGCCGGGACGTTTGGGCACTTGAAAGACGGACGAAGCTGCTAACAGATCCAACGCCATCGTAGCGATCTCCGACACATGTTTATCTCCTGTGATGAACAAAGTCAAAAGTGAAGAAATGTGAAACTTGAACGAACGATACCAACACACTAAACGGTCGAGTATTACAAAACATAGATGTATATACATATAATTATCTATACAATTATCTACATAAAAAAGAAAAAAATCTTATATTATCTTACAATAATTACAAAATAAAGATAATAAAAAAATAATTAACCCTTTAGTGTTAGATATAAAAAATGATCTACGAGTTGTCCAGACTGAGTTTGTGAGATCCACGCGACTTTAAGTTCGAATATTTCTTCAAAAAATCAATGCAGTAGAACCTCCCAAAACGTATGCTCCCAAAACGTATACAATACAAAATCCACTCTTAAAACGTATATTTTCCCTTTTGTCGTTTTTCCCACGATCCCATTGGAGCACAGCTCTTAGTGCTTACCCGAGTGCATCCGAGTATCATTTTATCTTTGTTTCATATCTAGTGAGTGATAAAGATAAAATATACTCGGGTGAGGAATCGGAACATAGCCAAGTATGAGGAATCGGAACATAACCAAACCTGCGATTGCGCATTTATACCAAGTCTTTGCGCATGCGTGAGTTAAAGAGTGACGAAATAGGGGAAGTATACGTTTTAGGAGGTTCTACTGTATTTTTTCAATTTCTTTCTTTTTTAATCAAAAGGTTGAACGATTCTGTGTCGATCAAAAGAAACAGATTGAAAAAATCTCCGGTAGGTTTGAAGATATAAGCGTTTAAAGAAAAACCTCACAATTTTTTTCGAAAAAAGGCTTTTTGTTTAAAAATTCATAACTTTTTAGGTAATTAAGATTTTTACAAAATTCCAACGCAGTTTTGTACGGACTCGTTCAACGTTTGGAACAAAAGTGTCTTCTAAAAATTGTAAAATTAAAAACATTTTCACAATGAGTTTTTTGGGATACATATGAAACGGAGCGTACATATGTATGTACGTAGTAGAGTGGTAGGCTCGCGGTCAGTGGTGGAGATATCAGAAATATCGCAGCGTTACTACTTGGCTAGTCGGCTTGCCTGAGTTGTGCAGCTCTGATGTAAAGAATGCATTTTTCTAGCGCCCAACTTTGACATGCAATATTTTAGCAATAAATCAATATTTAGATATATTCTTTTTTTTAAATAGAAAATTTAAACTTCCTGATCAAAAAAACAAGTTGAAAAAATCTCTAGTAATTTTAAAGAAACTTTTGAAACGTTTCTGCGCTTTATGACTTAATAAATCGCTATAAATGTACATATATTTTGATAAAAATTATGAAAAAAACGACAATTTTTTAATATATTAGAAGTACTCAAACTGAAAAAAAATTTATTTACTTTTTGAAATGCCAACATTTTATCCAGACTTAGGTCTCTCAGACCCTTTTTGCACTTCAAAATTCAAACTTTGCAAAGCTATTAAACAAATGACACTGTCAACGACTTTTACCATTGTCTAAGGCTCTAAAAGTTTTTTTTCATGGCCTTCAGATGTCGCGCTAAATTAATACCTAATAGAGACATTGGTTTAAAAAACTTTTGGATGAGTCTCGGAGTCCCATATCTGACACTGAAGGGTTAAGTACATTATAAGTACATTGTATTAAAAGAAATTTAAAACAGTTTTCTGATATCAAGTATAGTATAATATATTAACAAGAAGTATAGTATAATATATTAACGAGAAGCAATCGAAGATTTCATGCTTATATTTACCATTTCTAACAGGTAATCCGGAAGCGACCATATAAGAGTCTCCAATGGTCTCCACTTTGTACACATCGTAACACTCGATGCGCGCGTCGAATAGCTTGTAGATCGAGTTGAGGAATGTTACAACCTGAAAAAACATTTTGCTATTCCGTTATACTATAATTTCTAAATGTAAATTATTAATTATAGTTTTCAATATGGAGCAGAAAAAATTAAATTTACTCGGAAGAGCTAAATTTGTGTCAACTAATTAATGTTTATTTAGTGCTTATTCTACTATCTTATTTAATTTATTTAAAGTTCTTGATTATTAGACTCAGTTTAGTGTTATCTTGGATTGACGTCAGTAGCGAGAAAATAGATGCCTATTTTGCGCCTAACTTACGTTAAAGCAAAAGAGTATTTCCATAAAAACTCTCTTTGAATCAATAAAACACGCTCACAAAATATATCAAACACTTTTTTTTTGATTCACAACAACAAAATTATATCTGCAAAATCTAGTCGAGACACGTGTGCTTGTCATCAGATAAACCAGTGTGACATACATACACACCAAATGAAACGCTTTTGATTTAGTAAAAGCATGAGAATGATGATAAACAAGTAAAGAAACAATCACGAAATATTGAAAAGAATGAAAAAAATATTAATGCAATTTGCGTGAAATTCTCTTGCAAGTGTATTACATGCGTGCGGTTTTATCAGTGAATGAAAATGAGATGACATTATAACGAATTATTTATACGTAATTTAAAACTTGTATCTTGATTAATCGATTATATTTGATGTTGCAACAAAATGCAGAGAACGTACCTCAAGAGGCGTGTTTTCCGCGGCGATCTCCGTAAAACCAACTATATCGCTGAAGTAGACCGTCACCGCTTCATAATATTCTGCTGGCACCTGATAGAGATAAAAAAACATTTTATGGTGTATACATATATATGCTGTATACATATATATATTATCATATATTAAAAACATATTTAAAAAATATCTAATAGTTACAAAAACAAATAAAAAAATATAAAATTTTTTTAATAATAATTGCTATATTGTCTAAAAAATAAAAAAGTGTTTATATATATATATAAAACAATTTTAAACAGTTTCTAACTACCTGCTGAGTCTGTTTGAGTTGCTGAGCGACACTAGGTGGAAGCATTTGAAAAAGTAATGTGTCGCTTTTTCTTTTTTCGCGTTTGAGTTCACGTGCTTTTTGTGCCAAATTTGCGGCGTACATCTGCAATTAGTCGACATAACAAACTTTGAAGATATTAAAATCAAAAGTTTGAGAATACATTTGATCTTTCTATTAAAAAAATCATAAATAAATTCCAAAATTTTAGAAGGAAAGAGAGAGAGAGAGAGAGAGAGAGAGAGAGAGAGAGAGAGAGAGAGTGTGTGTGTGTGTGTGTGTGTGTGTTACTATTTTATAAAGATATTCTGAATAAAAAGATAATTAACTTTATCAACTTTATAATTCCTAAGAAGTTAGTAATAAAAAAATTCAGATTTACAATAATTACTATAGTAACATCTCCAACAAATTACTGTCAGCGTTATAAAAGCAAGTATGTAACATGAAAGAAAATCAAGTCGACAGCTTGAATCGCAAACCTGAATAGTAGCGACGGCATTACGCATCAGTATGATGATGATGGGCGACACAACTAACACTAGAACAACGATAGCGATCCCCGCGACTTCCTTGTTGCTCGCGTCTTGCAATGTTGAATTGACATATTCCCTAGTAACAAACATTTATTGTACGATCAACATAATTATAACATAATGTAACATAAGTAGTATTCAATAATAAGTAGCAGTCCATATTTGACGTTTGCAAATTATTAATAAGCATTAGTATAAATCCTCTTGTATCACATCACACATATACAGGGTGATTCAGAACAACCTTTTATCCTTAAAAATACATATTCTTCTTACTTATTTATTTACTCATTTGTAATTTGTATCATTTAATTCGTGCATCACATAAATCACTGTCAATCACGATGAGTTGCGCCGCTCTTGCCTATCTCTTGGATCCGACTCATGGTACGTCAACTATTTTTATTAGTAACTCAAAAAGTAAGCTTCAGACAAAATTTTGCCAAATAAAAAGTTGTCTTAGAATTTAGTCAAGAATATGTATTTTCAAGGATAACAGGTTGTTCTGAATCACCTGTATATTCGTATATTTATTCGTATATTTTTATATTAAGTGTTTAAGTACAAATTTATCAAATTGTTTTGTATAGTTTTCATGTTTAGTATCAAAACTGTGCAATCTTCAAATTTGAAATAAATCATATGATAAATTGTGCGAATAATTACTAAAGAGATTTTTCTTGTAACTTATGTAAAGAGAGTAGGAAATCAATACTTTTCCGATTACAATGGCTATCAATATATTCTACGTACAAGCGCGTGAGTGTGTTTTTACGCTGTGTATTCTATTTACGAGTTTCGCCAAAAGGATAAATACATCCGCGAAGAAACAGACACAATTCCATTATGAGATATTACTAGGTACCTTATCATATGACGCAATTCCCGCTGCAGCTTACGCAGCTCATCAATGTAAGTAGCCATCTCGTCAAAGTATGCAATCGCATCCTCCACGCTCGGTTCTCTCTTTTGATTTCGCAAGATTTCGTCCCGTCTGTAAAATAAAATACTCTCGTTTGTTCACATGTTTACGTCTGTCTTTACGCTCTTTCTTTACAAGCTCCGCGAAATTCATTAGTCTGTTACGTTATTCAATAAAAATCTCCATTTGCAAAATATTTTTTTTGAATTACTAAACGTTGACTTTGTTTCATGGAAAAAACTACAGTAACAAATGTATTCTGTATTTTAGTTTCTTTGCAATAATATTACAGTATAAAATTTATTTCAATATTAGAGGAGATTCTAATACTAAAATAAGTTTCTTTATTATATATTTTTCCGCTCGTGAAAATTTACAAATGAAAAGAGAGCCATATAAGCCGTAAACAGTGTCCGTGTTTTGATGATTTGTTCAATTTTCTAACGTCAAACGTTTCGATCCGTATTAGGATGTTTATTGTAATTATAAATAGATTGTCACTGAAGAAGATCGAAACGTTTGACGTCAAAAACGTATTGGCCCTTTTTTTATTTGTGAAATTTTTTTTATAACTACTGCGCGATATATCATTCGAGACACAAAAGAAATCAGAAAAACATATTTTACCTTGCTTTGAGCCGATCGTAGTCAGGCATGGTAACTGTGAGTTCATCGTAAAGCTTCCTGAGAGAAGGCACGTATGTTAGGGCGGCGTTCAGAAGATCGCGTCCGAGTGCCTCCTGGCGAACGTAACTGATGTAATTGTCGCCGATGAGAATACCGCGACCAAAGTAATTAATCCCTTCCACAGATGCGATACCGAGACTCTCAATACTTCGCAAGAGATTCTTAAAGGCTATCAGATATCTGAAACGAAAATTCCGCAGATTTGTGATGTTATTCTCGTTTCTTGCTAATAAATTTAATGTATTTCTCAAAATGAAAAGCAAAAAAAAAAAAAAAAAAGAGATTTCTTGACCGTTACCTCCATACACCGCTATTGTCCGTTTCCTTGATCTGATTAGTCAAATGGTCCAACATAGCGGCGTTCACGCTCGTGTACCATGCCATTACCTCAGTGATGCTGCTCTCCTCTGAACTTATCTTCTGTCTGTGTCGAGAATAAACGAACAAACTTTGCACTCAAGCCAATTATTAGCATAATGTCAATATCGGGAAGGTATACTCCGAATTATGATCTTTTGTCGTGTATGTGCAATAATAATGTACATAATATGTATAAATATAATTGCATCAAGGCGTGACAGAATAATTTGATCAAGCGATCTTATGTTCAAAACAGACGTTCGAAAATATTTTTACTAACTCAACGGTTATGTATTTCTCTTTCTCTTACACAAAAAAATGATAGAAATAAACCTAAGTTCAATCAATTTTTATATAAATTGAACGATATTATAATTCAGATTGATATTAATTTGCATTAATTATATGTTGTATTAATATTTATTTTTATAATGTTTCAGCGCCGTCTTTAAGAATGATTTGGGGATGATAATGCAAATTTCCGAAAAGGTGCTATCTAAAAACAGATAAAAAAGAGATCTTTCAGGACGAGCACAAGCTACCTTGGAGGATTCGCACGTGGCGATATCGGTCGATAATGACACCGGTGGGTAGACCTTCGCATTCGTTATGAGATGAGGGTCCGATTAGTGCGCTGTGCATCGTCGTAATATCGAGGCGATATTCAACCATCGACAGACGACGACGTCAGGAGGAAAGAGAGAGAAAGACAAAGAAGAAGATACATAGAAAGAGAGAAAGATGGAGAGTGAGATGAACAGAGAAAGACAGCAGGCTAAAAATACTGTCTATTGCTCCAAATAGGCGCTCGCGCGCTCATGTGTAACGACCTCTTCCATTGCTCATAAAGAGAAGGTGAGAGAGAGAGAGAGAGAGAGAGAGAGAGAGAGNGAGAGAGAGAGAGAGAGAGAGAGAGAGAGAGAGGGAGAGAGAGAGAGAGAGAGAAAGAGAGAGAGAGAGAAACGGAGAGAAAGAGAGAAAAATAAAAAGAAAAGCAATGATATAAAGGAACAAAGAGATTGTTTTATTAAGCTCTTTGAGATCATCTATTTTTGATCGTAAAAAGAATCAACATAAAAGAATAATCATAAACATAATAATAAATAAATAAAAATCTTTCAGTAAGTAAATTTTTAGTATGGATAGAAAGAATAAGAAAATAAAAAAAGGTAAGCGTAGATATTTAAAAGAATTAAAGAAAAATAAGAAGAGAAAAAAAGAGACAAAGGAGTAAAAGTAGTTTGTGCACTTTAGAATAATATCTCGTAAGACCATTAAGCAAACAGACACGTAATTCGTAAATGACAATAACAAAAGAAACATAAACGTTTAGAAATAGAAAGTATGTCAGAAGAGAAACTTATAGACCTCACAGAAAAAAGATATCTATTTTTTTAGAAGATTGACTTCTTTAACATATATATTATATTTATTATACATATATTTATTATACATATATTTATTATATATGGTTTATTATCATGTTGTTAATAAATATATTTAACATATATTTATTAACAACATGATAAAAAACCATATATAAAATAATTATAACAAATAAACAATAAAAATAATTAAATATTAAAATTTTTATAGTAGATTCACTCTCTCTTTCTCTCTCTCTCTCTCTCTCTCTCTCTCACACACACACACACACACAGGCGCGTGCGTGCCGGCGCGTGCACTCACACGTGTAGAATGTAAAAAAACTTATTTTTAATTATTAAAATAAAAATTTATAAAAAAATCACTGAAGTAAAAAAAGAACATGCGTCTAAAGAAATTTTGAAAGCATTTATATCAATCGAACTTCCACTCCGAGGTATGAATTTTCGCAAGATTTTTTTGCACTAGACAAACATGCCATTTCTACTTAAATGTTTTAAAGGTATAAAACTATCCTCGCTAAAAACCGGGTTTTTTTAACACTGGCAGCCTCAACGGAATTTTTAAATTGATCAGTCTATTTCTGTTCTGTTTTTCTAGAAGAGTTTATCTATAGTATTTAGTATTTAAAAGAAAGAGAGTTTCATTGCTTGTTTTTATCACTTTGTGATCTTTCACATTTTTGCAAGTAAACAATGCAATAATTGATAACAGTATATTCATATTTTTAATCAAGAAAAAAGATAAACTCTATGGTAGAAGTATTTTGCAGTTATATTACGTTGAGATAATCAAATTGAAATTGAAGTTTTTGCTAGGACAAGTGGCGTATTGTCGCGACCTCGTACAACATATTCTCCATCTTCATGCTGTCGGAATGGAGTATATGCGCGCACTACTGGCTTTTCCATATCGATACTTTATCGCCCTATCGATTTATTGGTCGTTACGTACGTGCCTCTGGGTCGGTCGAGACTCGCACTCCACCGTTTTCGCTCCATCGCGAAATAAAAAACCGTGCCTTTTATAAATATTGCCCTAAGCACGACACATTAAAATCAGCGAGTTTAGTGAGATTGCTCACGAAGTGGGAATTATATTGCGAGGTTGATCTGCTTCGTAAGAGAGAGAGAGAGAGAGAGAGAGAGAGAGAGAGAGAGAGAGAGAGAGAGA